ACACAAGAAATTGCACGACTCTCAAAACCCTAAACCCTTATTTTTCTACTTTACAAAAGTCTTAATAAGAATTCTTTCTTAGGTCTACGTCTTATGCCCTAGGTTTTGGTCTTCCTTTTATAATCTTCAGCTGTCCATGGGCTTCGAAGTCTCTGTTTAATCCTCCCTTGACCCATGTTCTGATTTCTCCTTAAATCTTGGACCTGATCTGTACCAAATCTGTTGCACCAGATCAGGATGTCGAGTCCATAATGCTAGGACATCTTGACTGACATGTCTTCCTTCAGCAGATTTCTTCTTGTTGGAATATCTTGTGCAACATCGTGTTTTACCAAGATTTTAGTCAAATCTGTAGAGCCTTCAATCTCCCCCTTTTGACAAATGTTGACTAAAACACCTTTTGCACAATAAACCCAGGATGATACAGAGGGAGGGAGTAGAAGTTCCTGAAGTCATTCAGCCAGATGACCTGTCTCCCTTATGTTGAAAGCTTTCATTCTTCCTGTACATGAGAAAGAAGATACACCCAGCTCCCCCTCAAACCCAGAACCAATACATTTCCCCGGAGCAACCAAACATCAACTTGAATTATCCCTATGAGGATTCAGGGGAGCAGACTGCTACTCCGGGTAACTCAGAACACAAGACACAATTGTGTTCATAACTCAGATCACAAGACACAAAAGAAAGACTCAAAGAAGAAACTGAGACTCATACATGATGTTATAACATCTCGTCCAACATCCTTGTAAAACATCTGCAAGAATGTAATCCATAGCAAAAAGGATATCAATTATGTGTTGTAAGGACCAACACACTGCCGAGATGAATACACACCCATTATCCCCCTTTTTAGCCAAAAATTGGCAAAAAAAACCAACACAGTTCCAGACCCACATGGTACTACACAAACCCGGACATAAGCCATGAAGACAAGACGCATCAAAAGAAACACAACTTGAAAACCAAGAAGCAGCGATCCCCTTTAAATACTCAAATAGTTACTCTAGGAATTAACGGTCCATAGAAGTTACCGAAGAACAATTCAACGAAGACATAAATTAAGGTAGGTAAATTCAACATAAATGATTGTGTACCGCCCAACTAGGATTTGATTGTTTCAACTTTAGGGTAAACCATCCAAAGAATGCGCATGTTCCAAGACACATGTTTAACACGCCTTCTCTTAGGCACGCTCTCCACCGTCCAAAGAACACGTCCAAGAAAGCAACTTGAAAACAACCACAAGTCCTAAACAATGTCCTGACATCAGGTCAGACTTTTTCTAGTCCTTTTCATGGCTTCAAAGGCATAATCACAGATCCTTCAGATAATCTCAACATGCTCTTATCGACCAGAGGCTTACTACGATGTTAAGACATCATGTCCAACATCTTCCAACAAGGACTCGTAAGAACCTTAACTTAATCTGCAGAGAAAAATAAATTCTCCCAGACAATATCCAATCTTACTTCTCAGGTCTCTCCTAAGAATTAAGAATATAGTTAATATAATTTGGTATCCTTAACAGCCCAACCTATCATGCAGAGCTGACAATTCTACCAATATCAAAACGCCAAGATGTCAAGATAACTTACTTGACATCACATCTCATATGATTCACATGAGCACCTTCATGATCATAAGTTAGAAAGATACCAGGACCACACTCTTTGTATCATAATCAAAGAATTTTGGATTGAGAATAAATAACACCATTGATCACTCTCCTCCTGAAAACACCCATCCAATGTACAAATTCCTCTTGAATTTTACAACCATATACAACCTTGTTCTTGAGAATAAATCCAATCAAATATGGAATGTTCATATTCCCTAAAGATGCATACACATTCTCTTAACCCCTTGGTTAATCAAGATGTCATCCACACATAGAAGTTATCAAACCCCTTCACTAAATGAAGAAGAAACTCATCAACCTACCTCCTTCTCAAGTTCAATCTGATACACTCTCTTCAAGAGATACTTCCAGTAGAACCAACCATCTATGCATATATAATCAAACTCAACAAAGTCTTGATCATACTTCATAATTAATAGTTAGTTCACTTATAATCCAACTGGTCAGAGACAAAACTTTCCTTTCTGAAGAGATAGACAACTAAATTGATGTCTCAAACACAAGTTAAAACATCATCCTCATCTGCTTTGGTTCATGGTAATCTATACACTTCCTTTTGCAATGACCACAAGAGGATTCCAACAGATCAAAGCAGCTCATAGATCATCATGGGAGGCATAATACCACAGAGAGAAATAAACTCTCTCTAGCCTCATGAAACTTCATCATCGAAGCACAATGTTCAGACATGTTGTCTGACATTACAAAGTCAACACCCATCCTTAAGCATCCACAAAGGAGATTCTCTCTGACAGATACCATTAAGATTGACAATAAGCATAAGATATAGATTGAGTAACAAAAACATATTTCTCTTCGTGGTCTCCTTCTCCTCTTCCCTTCAATCTTCAATCCTCCACTTTGCACAAAGCACTTCAAGCCAAGGTACATCAGCACTATCAAACCACGGACTTGAACAGGTGTTTCCTTGGAGCACACTCAAAAGATACTTTCCTTCAAAGTAACGACACAAAATACTTTTTACAAAATCCTTGATCATGTGGGAACAACAGAACTGGAGCTTCCAATACAAACACCTTCTTACCTCAGACAGAACTCTGGAACACTCATATCAAACATCTTAGAAGAGACTCCAAGAAGATATGAAAACACCAAGCAATCAGTAACTCCCTTGAGCTTTTACTATTGCATGATTCTCAAATGTTGAGATAGACTTTAGCACCAACCATATAGTTGGAGAGCAACCATTACTAAGAAGATCAGTTAATAACACGATGGTACAACTCCAATGCACACAAATTCCTTCAGCTTTAACATCCTGATATTCAGTCCAATATCAGAACCTTTGATTTACATCAATGACTTGACTAGCCAACTGATGAAACCACACCTGCCTGGAACAGTCTTGAAGATTTAACCCTTAGACTTCCAGACATTATCCCATCTTTAGTGGCTTTTCCACCATAACAAAACTTACATGTTCTCATAAACTTGATCATGAAATCAAGTTTAAGTAAATAACCTCCATCCTGAACATAAGAAAGAAAAGCAGTAACCATACCTTTGCAGGATGAACAAACACCATAATGTCAATTTGCTGCAGACACAGTTGTCCCAGAAAATGATCCTCATACGATCAGAGTCTCCAAGAGAAAATGTATTTACAGCTATTCAACAAGATCACTCATGCCCACCTTTGAAATACCAAAGCAGTCTTCAAGATATCAGAGTGAATGTCCCAGACATATTTTCTTGGCATCCATGTGCACAGAAACTTGTTGAGATGTCACCACAGTCCTTCAGCTTAAAGTACGCCTTAAGATCCTTCAACGGAGTACCAGAAGTATAGCTCCAGGTCAGAAATAAACTGACCTAAAGAAAAACTCACCAAAGCAAATGATGTCTTGATCTTCATCTTCACCAGCATACATATATAAGACAAAACTCTTGGATAGATGCTTCCTATGTAACATACCCGAAGGCTCTTCAAAACCAATCTGAAAAAGATTCCCAACACACACTTGTTTATCCTCCAGGACATATGTTGCATATCTCCTTTATCCGAGAAGATCCCTCTTTGGAACAACAAGATTCTGCCCACACTCTTCAGAGGTGATGTTTCAACATCTGGTTAAACATCAAGTCCTTTTCCCATGAACAAGACATTGGATCTTTAGTTCTTGCACTCTCTGAACCTGCACCTTCAGTTGTGAGATCATCTTTTTTGAACACCAAGCAAAAAGGATAACCAATCAAATACTTGCTAAGACAGCAAATAGCAATTGATTTTAAATCTGATTATGTATTGTTTATATTTGCATCCTCCTTACATTAGCTACAAGACTAAAAACGACCAGCACAACCTAGAAAGATATCTTCAAGGCACACACCTTCTTTAGAAGATATTTGATAGGAGATCCTCAAGCAGGGACAATCTCCTATAGGGTTGGTAGCAAAAATAAATTGCTTATGGCTCTCCCATGATATGGCAATCTCATATCATACTTCAAGAAACTTTGAAGCATCCTTGAGAGATAATTCAAGTATCTTTGACAACTTTAAACATGTCATTGGGTGTTTATCAAATTCAATGTATTAAAATAAATGCACAAGACAAACATTTTTTAATTTATTTCTTAATTTGTATCTTTAAAGATACAAGTTAGTAGTACCTCTTATAAATCTTTATTTTTTAAATTCATTGAATAAATAATTTATTTAAACTATATAGACCATATACGTCAATTATTTAATAAATTTAAAAAGTAAAAATTGCTTATAAAAAAGACGGAGAGAGTATGTATGTCTCTAAATAAGGTGCATTTAAAAACATTATTTATCCCAAAATAATTGTTCTTTTTGGTTACGTGATAACAATTCGTCAAAAACGCTTCAAAAATTTCCAAAAATACAGCTTCAAAAACAGAGATGCATCTAATTTTTTATCTTTTCGCAAAGGGTTTACCTAGAGAAGTAAAAGAAATTTCCCAAAATTAATCCACATGTATCCACCCAAATCAAGTTTGTGAGTTAATTTTGAGAACAAATTTAAAAAAAGTTAAAATAATGTGATTGAATTTTGGTTATATCCATTCCTTGCTGAGAATCCAACTATGACAGATTTAAATCTACAATTTTTCACTGACATGTAGATATTTTAATATTGATACTATTATCATTTTGATCAGCATTTTATGTTAAACTAAAAGCTTAACAGCCTCAGTTCTATAGAGAGCTTTCATTATTCGTGATGAATTCTCAACTAATAATCATTTACAAACAATTTTTCTAGTAAAACAATTTAGTTTTCATTGCCCAAATCGTACACAACACGGTGGCCAAAATTACCACACAAGACTATTAAAAGATGGAGCAAAATTGGAGTAAAACTCAGTCCTCAACTAGGGTTTCCATCACCTTTGTTGCTTTCTTTGATAGACTCCAAACATTCCTTCGCCCGATAAACTTTCGACTGGAGGTAAAAACTCCCATTCTTGGCATTATTCTCAAACATTTTTTCATATTTCTGCACAACAACAATTATGTTTAAGACAAGGTTGAGTATGTTTTTGAACACTAAATTTATGAAAAAAACGATACTTCGACGAGATTCAAATTTTGTCTATTTTATAGGTAATAGCTATACAGCAGAGATGATATACTACTAACCTTGATAATATCCTCCCAGGGAGTTTCCTCAGTAACACCGAGAATCTGGCGTGCCTCTTGCTCTGTTATCTTTGTGCTAGCTTTGCGGATAGTATTTTGAATTGTTTCTTGTGCAACGCCATTTTTTGAGGCATCTAGAATAACATAATGTTGAGAAAATGAGAAGAATTAACAGTCACTATTTTTATAAATAGATTTGATAAAGAGAAGACTTAACAGTCACAATTAACATGAAAATGTGAAAACTGATGAAAAAAATAACAGGAAAAAGGTAAGGTTGATGCATGTTAAGGTCTAAAGATGGATAGTCATCATTTCATTTCGTCGAATAGCACTAAATCATACCGCCGAAGCACAATGCCAAAGGCCAGGCCAGGCCAGCTCCTCCTCTCAACCTAATCAACCTTCCATCCGTGTTGTCAATAGCGAGAAATAGCGGTTTGCTCAAATTAAGCTATGCAACAATGCTATGGCACCGCTATAGGCGTTGTTTGACAACAGTTTTTACTAAATAACATATCCTGAATCAATAGCAATCTGTTCAAATTCTGATATGCTGTCGCACCACTGTATACACTGTTTAACAAAACTACCCGCCATAACCACTTCAAAATTCTCAGATATTCAGTTACCTGCCCCGGTGTTTCCTTTGATTCCCAAATCATCTTCCTCCACTCTGTTATTATCCTTCCCTCTCCTCTATACTACTACCTTCTTTTGGTGCCATCTGTCCCTTTCTTCTCTCATCATCGATAAGAGGATTAGTTTCTTAGGCTCAGCCATTCCTTCCTCAACTCCCATTTCACAATGGGCCTATCTTATTAATTTGAATTGAAATTGATTCATCCTTCAATCCATCTGTCCCTTTCTTCTCTCATCATCGATAAGAGAATTAGTTTCTTAGGCTCAATCCTTCCTTCCTCAACTCCCATTTCACAATGGGCCTATCATATTAATTTGAATTGAAATTGATTTATCCTACAATCCTCAATCTAGATATTAATGAAGAAAATAAACGTTAACTTGAGGTTGAAAATTTTACACATTGAACTAACTTTTCAAGTAAAGACATTCAAATATAACTTAACTTATTTGAGAATCAACTATAAGCAAATCAGTTTATAAAAAATCAAAATTAAATACATTCAAAACCATGATTATGCTCAAACTCAAAAGGTTGCAGATTCTAAATAAGAATTTGTGAAGTTCGATTTTAAGACAGATATGTTCAAAGACAGTGCAATCCTAAAAGATTAAGATTTTTGGAGGAGGCTCATGAATCATGAAAAGGACCAATTCTCCCCAAAACTAACACTCTTAGAGTAGAGGCATGTGAGATGTTTTACATCTAAAAGGTCACAATCTATCTGAGTCAAAACACAGAAACAGAAGGAATCGTGATTTCCCGATATCTTAAAATGGTTGGTTTTAAAACATCTTACAACGATTAGTAAGAAAAAAAATCTTACAAAGATAAATAAAAAATCTGAACAATGAAGACGAAAATTATAATAAGATTCTGAATTCTAATGCAAAATTAAAAGCTCTGATGAAGACATAGAAATAGTCAGATACCGAAGAAAGCCAAATCAACAACGGCTCTCCCAAAATACAAAGAAAACCACACCTATGATTTAAAATGTGCAAATACAAAGAAGAAATATACTTCCATCCCATGTAATGATTCCAACATGTCAACTAGATTGACCCAGCAATAAAGAGTTCCTTCCTTAACATAACCCTTGAAATCCCATAACACCAGTTGGCAAAAGGAGAGAAAAAACTATGACTACATTATATCTTTATCACCAAACTCAGCTCATAAATTCTTAAAACAGTGTACAGCTAAATATCCAGCAATTGTTAAAATTATTTGGGTGTTGAAAAGTGACATTTGCATATGATTTATATCCATGAAAACAAGTTATTTACAGAACACCACGGTATCATTATGCATTACTTCAACGGTCTAATTTGTTGCTTCTCAAAGTCAATTCACAATCGGAAATCGGACGCAAATGCAAAGTGAAATTTAATAATATTAGCAAGCATATATGTTATATCACACAAATCTCAAATATATACGGGAATAGTTTGGAAACTTACTGGTAAGTGCTTGACGATATGCCTGAACAACTGCTCTTGCCAAGATTCCCCCTCCCATCACAATCAAGTTTGCGAGAATCTTTGCAGCCTGCATAAATAAGTTAGTCAAAGTTTTGCTAGAAACCAAGAACATTTCAGACAAGGCTATTTATATATAGATGATTTTAAACCCCACTTTGAAGCCCCCCTCAACCAATACTTTTCTCTATCATTTTTAACTCGGATTGGAACAAGCACCCAAATAGTTACCACTATGACCTGAACCTTTGAACCCACAATAAACAACCAAATGATAATCAAAACAAAATTAGACAAAACATCAAACTACCAAATGGAGAATTGCTCCTGTGTGTTCATATCGTATAATTGCCATAGTAATATATTATTATTTTAAAGACTTCCCTCTTGGGACAAACATCAAATGGTTACTACGCACAAATGATAGAAACATCAATCTCATGAGAAAATAAGGAAAACATCATAAGAACAATTTCTAAAAAAACTTAAACAGCATATTTTGCTTCATTGAAAAACAAGAAAACAAAATAGATAAAACGTACCATAGCTTAACGATCAACAAAATAAAGCCTATATGATATGAGGTTTGATTTTTCTTCTCCGAGAATGAGATTTTAGGGTTTTTTGGAGATTGGTTGGTGAATTAGTTAATCGTCGAAGAATAGCAGCAGGTTCGTTTTGCAGCCGGTGACAATGGCGGACGGTAGGGTTTCAATTTGGGGATTTTATTTGGGGAGGTTTTCTTTGCCCACACGATGAATGTTTAGAAAATTCTAGAAATACTACATTTACTAATTGGACATATAATAATAATAATAATAATAATATATACCTATATACTTTCAATTCCATATTATAAACAAATTTCATCTTTCTAAATTTATTAAATTAAATAATTAAACTCTTTTATTAAAACCGCTCTTTTATTGTTTCAAATTTACTTTTAAATTTATTATTATTTTTAACTAATTAATTAAATTTGTGTAATGGGTTATAGTTTATAATTTGCATCTAAATGAGAGAAAAATAGCGTTTTATAATTTTATTGTTACATTTGTTTTATTGTGTAGTTTTTTTAAATTATATTGTGTAGTTTTTCTATCTCTTCTATCAGAAATTATTTTTATATCAATTTATGATGAATTAGAAGTTATAACAAACAGATACATGAGAAAGATAGAGTTACTTCTATGTGTAATTTTCAAAGGACAATTTTCATCTATACTTAAGGGTGACAAAATAGGGTTGATATCTCTCTATTTCTTTGTCCCTCCATTTTCTTTATTACTATAGTTTTGTTGTATATAAAATCAATTAAATATTAATTATATGTTACATGTCTTAGAAATGTGTGTTATTTACACAGAAAACTGTAGTAATGGAGAAAATGGAGGGACAAAGAAATGGAGAGGATATCAACCTGGCAAAATGAGTTGGGTCCGTCGGGCCCGCTCGTTTAACCTACCATTTTTTGCGAGTCGAAACGAGATTTTTAATTCGGTGTTTTAAGTTAGTCCGCTTCGCGTAACCCACTTTTAAAACGGGCCGAGGGCGGAGCGAATTTTTCTCACGGGCTTTTTGTTAAAAAAAATTACTTTAAATTTTAAAATAACTTTCATTTCTTCAAACCTTAATATTCATATTTCACATGACCACAAACACCTCATTTTAAAGACATTAATTTGATCTCTGCTTCTTTATTTATTTTCACTCATAGTAGGAAAAACATTTATTGCAAAACATAGAGAATATATTCTTTTCTATTTTCTATTACACGTTATCATTGGAGTCAGGTTCTAAAGTTATAAGGTAAGGGGTTTGTTTTCCATAGGTTTCAGTGTGTTTGTTTTAAGTTTTTGGTATTATAATTGTGTTGTTTGTTTATGTTGAAGAATATGACATTTACATTAAGACTCGTTAAAGTTTTACTATGCATTGTTAAAATTTTCTGGCATCTTTGTTAATGATTAACATTTTTGTAAATTATGTAGTAAATCAAATTCTAAATAAAATGGTTGGTCGCCCCGCCAACTTGTTAGTAAACAGGGCGGTCTTGACTTTTGAATTTGAACGCCTAAGTTGGTCCGCCCCGCATTTAGATGGGTTTAAATGGTTCGAATCTAAATATATCGGGCCACCCGCTTTGTCACTCCTATATATACCTATAATAGAAAGGAAACACAAATTTTTGGGTGGCTCTTTTATTGTTTCAAATTTTTCCTTGAATTTATTAATATATTAAAATAACTAATTAAATATGTGTGTTGGATTAGAGTTTATAACTTGAATTAAAAGTTACAATAAACAATTGCATGAGAAAGATACAGATACAGTTAGTTATATGTTAATGTATGATCCTATTGAGAGAAGGAGATACGAGAAAGAGAACTTTTGTACATGTTATTCACTATTTTAGTAAAAAGAATCTTCATTTATGAGATTTTATCATTTGTAAAATGTGAATTGTAATTTTTGCAGTTTAATTGTTTATATTTCTGGTTCTGATTAACCAAAAGAGTTAACATTTGTTTTTAATATCTATATTTACTAATATTTGAGAATAAAATAGAGACTAATTTGAATTGATATTATGAGTTTCTGATTCTGATTCGTGTTTTTTTCTCTTATCATTCAACTTCACATTTTACATATTTATCATTGATCTCGCAATGCATGTTTGTGTCTATTATATCCTTTATGTTTTCGATTATATATAATTTATTTCTTTCTTATTTTTTTGATTTGATTCAACTTATTGTTTTGTTTAGGAAGATGGTAAAGTATATATGAAGATGTGAGATTCAATGGTTAAAAATATAGTTGAGCAATTATAAAACTTAAATATATTTATTTCAACTTCCATTACAAGAATCATATTTCTTTTATTTTTTTGTTCTTACTCATTCTCCATAATTATCTAACACAATATATTTATTCTTTTCTCCCATTGATTCTTCATTAACATTACCATATTAATAATTTTTTATCATTCATTTTGAAATGTCACAAGATCATTTATTTTGAAATGTCACGAGTCATCATAAAACTTCATGAAAAACATTTTCTCAATGGTTATATGAAAAATCATCATATAAATAGTTTATATTAAAATAAAACATTTGCAAAAAGAGACATCTTTAATATTTTCACGCGTTAACACAATAAAAAAAGCTGATAGATTATCCGTCTGGACGCTAATAATAATAATAATAATAATAATAATAATAATAATAATAATAATAATAATATAACAACATAATAATATATAAAGGTAAAACTTATTTTTAGTGTAGCATTTTTCATCTTTCAATATTACCCTTCATAAATTAACTGACATTGAAAATTCAAAATTAAGAGTGATGCATATTTTAAATTTTAAATTGTACATCTCATTTTCATTAACTTCTTTGGCAGTTTAAATTGAATAATAATTGAATATTCATATACAAAACAACTTCCATCCTCTAAGTGTATCTAGACATTTTTTTTTCTCGACCCACTTCTCTTATATATTTTTTCCTTTCTCTACCATTTTTTCTTTACATATTTATTTTCCCTACTTATCTTTGTTACTTTTTATTAGTTCTTTTTATTTATTTTTTTCATCTCACTTTTTAAATTCCTTTTTAGCACAATTTAATGAAATAACGATCAGAAATATAAATCTCTTGAAAACTAAGGTTTGTTTTGTATCTTATTGACTCTTTTGTGTTTATAACTTTTGTATCAAATGTCATTAGGTCGGAATTGTTTTGCTTCATTGATGGAAGGAAGAATAATAATAAAGAGTTCGCTCATAGTGAACAACTATTATATGCAAATATTGAAATTTCGATTGTTATTAAAACAACTTGAAAGAATAATTTACATAATAATAACGATAAAGTAATATATTTTCCCCTATTTTTACTTTTTAATTTTCTTTTACGACATATTCAAGATTATGATGACATGATATATGAGTCAACCAATGTCATATATTTTGCCTTTAAAAATTCAAGTTTTTTTGTTGTTGCGAATATTGTTCATATAATTTTTAATGGTTTATTGTATTTATTTTCAAAAAAAATTCTAACGTGTGCAACGTTTGATTTTAATGTTATAGATACATTGTTCTAATTTTGCATGTTTTTATTCCATCCTTACTCTTTTAAACCTGGCAGCTATTTAAAGGACAAAAATTAACACGGGGCTGCCGATTGGAGGAGACCCACGTAGAGAAGGTTTTTGGAAACCAGTTTTGGATATAGTCAGAAGCGGGTTATTTGGGTGGAACCACAAGTATATCTCGATTGGAGGTAAAATTGTCCTGTTAAAATATGTCTTGTTCATTTTTTCCTTCTACTTTCTTTCTTTTTTCAAAGGTCTGTCAAGTACAATCTCTAAACTCGAATCTTTATTTAGAAATTTCCTATGTGGTGGTCGATTGGAGGCTAGGAAAATTATCCGAGTCCAATGGGAGAAAAATTGTTGTAAAAAGGAAGATAGGGGTCTTAGGATTAAAAATCCAAAGGCTCTCAATTTAGCTCTGTTAGATGACAGCGCATATCTAGAATGGGGGGTTAAATAGATCCCTTACTTAAAAAGAGTCGGTGCTACCAAATAAAATTGGTTTTTAAAAATTGTTTAATTTGCGGAAGCGGCCGAGGAAAATACAGTCTATAACAAACGGTTACTAGAAAACCGGATATGCGTCAAGCCAATGGAATCCGACAACGAGTAATGAGAATCACTACACTAGTCACACGATCAATTTGATTTAGCTCACAATGTGGTATCACTAGTTTCAATGCATTAAAATATTCAATAATAAATGGGCAGCACACAGGGCTTTTGGTTCAGATCATTTATCAAACACTTGGCGTGCAGAGCACAACAAGTGAATTCTGCTTTGAGTGAGTAACTCAAGTTTCCTCGTCCAATCAAAGATCGTACTAGATTCTTGGAAGCCACGGTTTGGGGCCTCTCAAATTGTGGTCGGCGCACTTGTTGACGGGGAGAGGGGGCTTCGGGAATCCTCGCGTTGGGTTCTCCACGGGGGGAGAGCAAGATGGACGATTCTGTTCTAGCATCCCGATATGCTTGTTCTGTCGGAACAACATCAAGTTGGTGTGGTTGATGGCTGCGAAGAGGGCAGTCATCATCGGATCTGCCCCTGCTGGTGTGTGGACGGGCTGGAAAGCAACTGGGCTCCTTGCTCGAGGGGCGACATTGTGTGTCGCATCGTCAGATGAAGGAGAGGCAGTCTGCCCATCTCTAATGTCACTGTCATGGACGTTGACGGGCCCACCATGATCTTCACCATTGGTGAGCGGGTTTAAGACGAAGTTGTGGACAACATCGTCGTGGCGTGGGCTGACCATGATCGCAGAAGTTGATGAAAGCTTTGGTTCTACTGGTCGAAAGAACGGGGAAGCTTTAGTTTTCCCACAAACAGTGCCACTGACCTTACCTGATCAGAAAAGATCAATGACCTGCCACGCATCGTTGAATTGTAGCTTCCACCAGAGATATGAAGAAGGATGAGGTGTACCTGCAAGGCACT